GGGGAACCCGGGAGCCTCTCATTGTCCCTCCAAGCAATGGAAGGCTTCAAGAGTGACGGAAGATTGGGGGTTGCCGTTTTTTTTCACCTCCGACCGGAACATTCGGTAGAACAGTCCCGTCACCTGTCGTAGAACACAAAGAGGGGGGGGGGGGGCAGGGGGGGACGGCACGCACATGGAGATGAAAGTCCTCAGAGGGTATGTGCAGAACGCGCCCGCACGTTGGAAAATTCCTTCTTTCGCCCGAAGCTCGCTCGTTTCTCGTTTCCTCTGCTGCTGTGGAGTAACTAACCCACCATCGACTTTGCAGGCGCTAGTGCAGGATTCTTGACTTAAGCATCTGTCCTCATGGTCAAGTTCTGATACCTTACATGACTCTGGCGACGGAGTCACAACTGCAAGGTTCTAAAAAAGTCGTGGTGGGGGTGGTCTATCTCTCTCTATACATTATATATACGGGGGGCAACCGACCCAAAAAAAAAACGAAAAAAAAAAATGGTGTACAGTACGCACCACGGATGAATTCGAAACCTTCTTGCGCGGATCCGGCGCGTTCACCACAGCCTTGGCTCCTCCTTTCCCGACCTCAAGCCAGGCGTCGTCTTCTTCTCCTTCCCCCTGCTGCTGCCCCCCACCCCCGCCCGTCCTAGAATCTGCGGACACCCCGCCACTCCCACCGTCGGAAGCGGGCTTCGGATTGTTCTTTTTCGCGTCTACGATCTCTTCGTGCAGCTGGTCCAGGAAGAACGCGAGGAACTCTTGCGCGTCTTCCTGCTCCCCCAGGCTAGCCGCCCGGAAGGCCCCGAAGGCTCTTGACATGGCCTGCGGGTGTTTTCGTTCGCGCGGGGCATCCAAATCGCGCACAGCAACGGGTGCTTGGCTGCAGTCGAGGGGCAAGTTTGGTGTTTCTGGCGGCATTCTTCGGTCTCGCGTTTTTTGGCACTTGCATGTAAGTGGTGGATTTGTTGGCAAGGCTCGAAGCATATCTTTAGCTTCCAAATCGCGTACCACTAACGAAATGCAAGCAGCGCAATCGTCTTTTCTTTTCCTTGAATGGTGATACTGCGGCTATTGGTGACGGAATAAAAAAAAAAAACAGAGCCGCGCCCATGGCTCAAAAAACAAATCACGTTGTTCCAGCCGGCACACAGAAACATCCACGGTCGCTATGCATGTCGACGTGGTCGCGAAAGAACCTGACCGCCTTGGACAATACCCAGCGCCACGCCGCGTGTAGGACTATTCCTGTACCACTCCCCGAGCATTTCTTGGACCACGGGGTCCTTGGAGGGTGAACGCACACACAAGCTTTGTCTCTTGAGGACGTACGGGCCTGAGCGCAGACAAAATATCACGCACCCCACCAAGTACACTTCGCCAAAAAGGCCGGGAACTCGGACTGTTTTACCGCCACCCTACTAGCTCGACGTGCTTGCTTATATCAAGCTGTTCCACGCATCATGTCTTGTTGCTACGTGAATTAAGAAATTTATCCAGCAAATAATCCCACGTGTAGCATCCCGTGTGTTGCAATATGAACTCAAGAATATTTGGTTGATACATTCTTGACATGTAGGGTACAACCTAACTGAATTCAAGAATTTACCGAGGAAGCATCGCACGTGGAGTAGGTAGCGTGCTGCCAAACGAATATCAAGAAGATATCAACCAACCATCCCACGGGGGTCCTTCTACGCAAGCTTTTGCACTATAAGCGATGAATCGCGTACATACCTCGTCCGGCAACACAGGTTCCGCCGCCGCCGAACTTGCCCGATGGTACCGCCCGCCACCGCCGCCCCTATTTCTACCACCAGCGGTAGACCAAGCCCCCTTGGCACTACTGCTGCCACCGCTGGCGAGGGGTGCGGCGGCCCCAGGCTTGGGTGGTTCGAACGCGGCCGCGAATCGCGCTAGCTGTGCCCATGTCGGCAACGCCTCCCTGGCGGGGACGGAATCTCGTAGCCCCGGGGCCGCCCGGAACAGTACCCTAATGTATCGTCAAAGTGCCAGCGGTGCAAAGAGCAANTTTGGGGGGGGGGGGGGGACGGGGGACACTGGTCTTATGGGGGTTCAGTGGTGGGGTTGGTCGAGGCGAGAAGGGGGTGGGGGGGAAACACAACGGTAACAAAAAAAAAACTAAGACGTTTTGTTTTATCCCTGCCAGGTCGCGAGACAGCCTCAATAGCACACAACACCCAACAGGCCGCTTACTTCAAAGAAAAAAATCAACGCCGCTACCTCCGAAATCCAACGATGCACACACCCACACACACACAGTCCACTGGCGACTCACTGTACAAACGGCTCGCACGCCAGCAGTGCCTGAAGCACCGCGTTCCGGAAGCAGCTGTTGCCGGTGTTGATAAGACCCCGGTGCACCAAACCCCCCGCGGGGACCCCGGCCCCCAGCCCCACCGCCTCCCCCGCCGTGATCAAGCCGTTCTCATCCCCGAGCAGCTGTAGGAGCGACTCCCATACCCTCTCGGCCAGGGCGGCTGCGTCTTGGGCTGCTTTCGCCTCCGCTTCCTCCTTCGCCAGAGCCTCGGCAGCCTCCGCTTCTGCCTTCGCCAGGGCTTCGGCAGCCTCCGCGGCGGCCGTGTCTACGGTATCTACGACGGCCTCGGCCGCGCCACTGCTGTCTCCGATTGCTGCGATTGTTGTTTCTTCGGAGACGGCCACACGACCGCCGTCTTCTTGTCGAGAACCTTGTTCCTCCGCCCGTCGCGCTGCGGCGGCAGCGGGCCCTTCGGGAGGAGCAGCAACACCGCCGATTGGGTCCCCTACCGGCGATGACACACCCGCTACAACACCACCACCACCACCACCGCAAACGATGCCACTACCGCCTCCGGCAACTTCTACTGCTTGCTCCTGTATTCGCGTCGTCGCCGCACGACCACCCTGTGGTATTCGGTTCGACTCCCGTCCGCCCTCGTCGCCGGGTGCCGCTGCTACCGGTATAGCACCGCTATCAACAGCCTCAGCTGGTGGAGGAGGCTGCGCTACCGGCACCGTCGTCGATGGGTGCTGCGCTAGCCCAGTCGTTGCGGCAGGGGCTGCGGCGGGCGCCGGCGCGGGCCTCGGCTTTGGTCTCGGCCCGCCTGCGGCTATTCTTGCCCAGGACATGGTAGGCTGTGGTTCAGCGAGAGAGGCGGGGTTGAAGAGAGGGGGGGGGGGGGGGGGGGCGTCATCAGTGAGTTGCCGAGGAGAGTTGGAGGGATTTCGTTTCATTTCCTTGTCCTGAGTGGGAGGGTTGTCGTCGGCTTCTCCTTGCCTTGGTTTGAGGCAATAAGACCTCTTTGACAAAATAAAGAACGTTACGCCTAACTCTTCCCTACTCCGAAGCTAACATCGGTCGCTGAGCTCTTGGACCGATTTTTTCGTTGCAGCCGCTATTTCCCCGGGCTAAACTTGCTGCCGTCCGAGGGATTGCAACGACGAAGGTTGGACGGATATAGAATGGAAGGATTTTGACTGCTACTGTAGATCTATCCCCCGGGGTGGTTGCCTGCAGTGGGCTGCCATGGGCGTGTGATTTGCAAGCCATGCAGAGTGAAAGCTGGAATGGAACCTACACCTGTTGCTAACAACAACAACGAAAAAAAAAAAAACACAGACACAGAAGACTGATGAATTTTCACTCGACAGCCGGTAGCGCGGGTCGATGCCAACAATGAACACACTCACCGGTGGACGCGGCAAATACACTTCCGGGCTGGGGGGAAGCTGCTGCTGCTGCTGTTGCTGCTGCTGCTGCGACGGCGGCGGCGGCAAGGCCTGCGGGACGTTCTGTACCGAGCCTCGAGCATCCGCCGATGTCGCCGTGGGTAAAGGCAAAGCGGGGGCGGTTGTCGTAGCGGGGTCTGCCGGTGGGCCGCTTGCTGGTGCCGGTACGGGTTTCGGTTCTGGTGCTGAAGCCTTGATCTTTGAGGTCGGCGCGTGGTGGTTGGGTTAAGCGTAGGGTTTGGGTTTAGGGCGTGTCAGTTTCGTTTTATACACCGAGGTGTGATGGTTTTCTTCCACGTACCAAGTGGTGGGTGAGGCAATATGGATACATGGAAGACGGATGTACGGCAGTATATTGTTCCATGTCCAAATTGATGAGGGGTGTTACTATGTTGTGTTCAAGTGGGCCGTCTCTCCGCCCACACAAAAGTGCGCTGCTGGCGGCGCAGCACAGGAGGGGATCATGGCGGGGTGATCACCGCCAGGACACAGGGGCGAGAGAAATATAGATGCGGGAACCCTACTCTGCTGTTGGCACTTCCTGTGATATCCGACATAGACAGCAGTGAGCCGTGGTTGTCCCACCGTTCCTGGAGATTTATTATGTATGTTTTTGCAAGAGCACAGCGAACTAATGTCTATCCACGGCTAAGAGCCCAGGATACACTATAATAATATAAAAGCAATGACATCATCCTTGTATGCATAGTCTAGTTTACATGAGACCTGTTAATCGTTGCTCGCCAACCACTTGGCGCACGAAGCTTTTTGCCAGAGAATTTTGACGCGAAAGAGCATTAGTTCGCCTGGAAGCTTTTCATACTAAATAACAGGATTCGGAGCTACTTGTACATGTCTCGGAGGAGAGTGCGGTATGAGTGTTCGACTACTGCTGTGGGTACATGTATCTCTCGATCTCGAATGTGTAGTCTTTCTGTGTGTGTGTATTATTCCCTTATGAGTGTGTAGCAGTTGCCCAGTCGTGTTACAGTCGCGAGCGAACCCATAGATAAAAAAATAAAGGGGGTGACTTGTCAAGGTGTTCCGGTACCAAGCTATTGCGTTGCTCCTATGATGTTGCAGTTCTGCAAGTGTGCGGTGTACGAGGGTGGGCGTCATGGGTGGTGTTGAACTTTTACGCGGCTGACTGCCGTCCGGGAAATTGGCAATACACCCCGGCTGTCAAACGTCGAACCTGCCCAACACCGCTGAAAGGAATTATTCGCGCGAGACTTGGCACATCTCCTGCTGAACGAGAGGCCAAGGGAATGGAGATCATGTACAAGTCATTCTCGCGCTTATGTACTCATCACGCCCAAGGTTCAAAAGCAGCAGCAGTGCCTCAAGAGAGCGGAAATGGCATGTGGTTGTGTCGACTGAATAGCGGTACTCACATGTGAATAATCATTGCTGCTCTGCTTGGTATCGTCCACAGTGAACGACCCGAAGGTGATCCCTATATCATCACCATCCGAGTCCGCCATGGTGATTGCCCTTTCCACGACGTGGGGAGCAGACACTCTACCTCTCTCGCTGGCACAGCCCCACAACACGACCAGTAGCTGGCATCCGCGGAGCCCCCCCCCCCGCTTCCGAAGGGGCTCCGTGATCGGAACCTACAACCAACAACACCGCTTGCCATTTGATTTCAAGACTCCATCGTAGCCATGTGGGGGCTGGGCGCTATACGGGACGGAGCTGCAGGACTGGTGAAGCAGGGTGCGGGTGCGGTCAAGCATGGAGTAGAAGCGGGCGCAAAGCTGCTGGAGAATCTGGACGAGGTGTGGGCGCTAAGAGACATCCCGCATTCACCGACACCCCCCCCCTCCTTTTCCCGAGTGTTCCACTTGCCATCATCACGGCTTACCACCTCTGTTTGACGTCTCATGCGGCAGGCACCAGGAGGCGTCGCGATATAATGATCAACTAGATGTTCCAAGCTTCGATGTTTGCATCTGCTCTGTGTTTGGTTGCAGGAACACAAAGCGTTCCGAAGAACAAACAAGAAAACAATTGCGTATCTGCGGAGGGACGTTTCCCACGAACCAGACACGCATTCTTCGACCAATCATTACACAATACCTCGGCGTCCAGCAGTACACTAGCGTTCCGTGTATATTCAGTGTATAGTAGGCAACTTCCTATCCATGCTTGGTGGTTGAAGCCGTTGAGCGTACCACTGCTGTTCACACGTTCCATTATTTCACACATGCCGGAGAACTGATCCTGCGATTTGCTACTGGAGCGGTATGCGTTTCTGCTGTCGTCCACATGCGCGTACAGGAGCCCCACGTGGTAACGTCCCGAGTTGCTTGAGGCTCGTTGCTTGTTTTGTCTGTGTGGTTCTGTAGCCCGACGTTGACTACATACAGTAGGACCTAGCGTAGAATTCTTAACAGACCACATGTTCTTCTAGCCAAGTATGGCCAAAGTTCAAATCTATCTCTTTCCCCCCCTGAGTTTCTGACTTGGAGAGGTTCTACTAAGTGTGGATACACAGCCGGACACATCATCTCCTGAACATGAAAGCAAAACGGTGTGTGTTCATTCGCGAGTCTCTATTTGCGCAAGATATCCATATGCCCACCTCTTCTGCGTGCTTGCTGCCCTCTACGCGCGACATCTTCTCTCTCCTCCTATCTCGTTGCGGCAACCCATTGACTGGCGTTATGTCGTACATCGTCGTACCATCCATCGCACACCCAATCGCTCGCTGCATGCATGCAGACGCCGCTAACCCCCCACGCGCAATTTACTGCTGCGGTGCCGTGATGTTGTATTTGGCCTTTACTCTCATCGACCACGCAAAGAACTTCGACGAAGAGGACGACCTGGGCTCAGATTTCGATGACGACGACGACGATGACGATGACGATGAAGACGACGGAGAGGGCGAGGAAGAGGGAGAGAACACCCCTACCCTCGATGGGCAAGACACGGAGCTGCTGGAAGGGAAGGGGCCCGCCCCCGCATCCGGAAGCCCTCAGGGGCCAGAGGTAAGCGTGTAGACGGGGCTTGGTTGTATGCTCAGGGCTTCACCCTCGCTGTGGCGCGTCAGTAGCGGGGCGAGAAGGTTTGTCCTTCCTGTCTTGCCGCCCTTTCAACCTCTTCTTGTTCCGTGACGCGACGGAACTAAACATGAGCCTCATCCTACTGCTGTACCAGCGGTGACCAGCGGCTTCGGGATGTTGTTTTACCCTCACCGGTTAGCGTTAACGTACAACGAATGCCCCCTCTGAGAACGAATACCACCGCCGCCGTCGCCGACAGGGCGCCTCGCCAACACGCTTCTCTTGCACATGTCTCGTTGGCATAGGTGATTTCTCTCTGTGTTGTACACCGCGCGTGTATTTCTTTGATTTGCATTAAGGCACCACAGTTCATATAAAGGGACTTTGAAGGTGTTTAGAAGGCGTTTTGGTTTGGAACGGAGACGCGGGCGTTCACCTCACCCAGCAAGATTACAGCAGCAGCAAGTAGCCGTGTTGGTTCCGTTGTCGAAGCCCTCAGCCCGCCATCTTTCTCAAGGCAGTAGACTGTCGATGCCTCGAGCGTCACGTACAAGCACTACCACGGCGTGGTGCAAGTTCCTCACACTGGCAGGCCGTACCTTCTTTGCCGTGCTGCGACAGGGACATCGAGGTGGAGAGCACGAGGGGTTAGGCCCAGCGCCGCCAGCGTACGACGGGCCTCCGGCGGAGGGAAACATGGACGACGCCTTTGGGCTCGATCCCACCAGCGACGAGTTCCAGGCCGTGAAGCGCGAGATGGAACGCCTGGAAAGGGCGCACGCCTCCCAGGTTCGTGCGTGCCGGAGGGGGGGGGAGGGGATGTACTCATAGCCGTGCATGCCGTAGTAGTCAAGACCATGGACCTCGCATCCTTACAAAACCGGGGCGGAGCACGCCGGGTTCTCACCAAACCAGGTTTTCCCATCATCAAGCGAACCAAGGGGGGGGGGGGGGGGGTACTCAAGTTTTGGAATGCTCTAGTTGTTGGGCGTTGGCCACGCGTCCTCGAAAGGAAGGAGCGTTCTTCCTACAGGACCGATCACCGATGGCCAGTCGTTCCTTCCTACTCTGCCAAAGGTGGCTATAATTAACCGTAATCCCAGGTCCGTGCGCGCAAGGGGGGATGTGTGTGCTTCGTGGTTGTACGCCGTTGTGTGCTGTTTCGGAACGTTGTTCAGTATCTTGAACAACAGCAGACTACTTGATGAATCCTTGCGCTCTTTGGAAGGCTGAGCAAAAGGAGGCGGGGACCTCCCTTCAAGGAGGGGCCGTGAAGGCGTCCCTCTTTGGTATGATCCCTATACTAGGGAGTTGCAGCTACCGCCATGACCTGTTAGTCTGTCCTAGTACTACCGTTCAGACCTTTGTGCTCGATTCCCACAACACCTAATTGTAACCTAAACACCTATTGTAACCGACCGCTAACCGCTACAGTATGTAGCCCGTAGAGAACCTCACTCGGACAACATCCCATGCTGCTTGCCCAACAGGTCCTCAGCAAGGAGAAGCAGGTCAAGAGGCTTAGGCGGGAGGTTCGAAGGGTCCGACAGGAGTCGGAAATGGCGGTCAATGAGATGCAGCCGCAGCTCCAGAAGCTGGTGGACCTGGTCAAAGATTCCAAGGTGCATGGCCCCCGTTCGGTGCAGGGTTGGACGCCTTGGGCGGTGTGTCTCAGTGCGTCTAGCGGGATGAGTGAGCTTGCGTGTGTTTTCTTTAATTGGCATCGACCGCGCTTAGGGCTGACCAATGGGACGACGTCAGTCTGAGTGCGGTTACATGTGTGTTTCATTTACTGACTTACTTACCAATGCCGAGACATCGGTGTCCGTGGAATATAGGATCAGGGTCCCCGGATCCGGCGTTTCCCCAGGACAGCGTTATGTGTGTGTGCTGTTTGTTCACTCCATTTATTTCTGGGCGACGTTTTTTACACCCGTTTTTGTTTTTGGAAGCACCAGACGGTGTCACACGGAAGGAGATGAAGGCCACGCAAGAATGTTCAATTTCTCCATGCACGGCAGCCTATCCCAATGATTATCCCGAGAAGGGTTCAGCGATCCCTTTCCGTCGCGGACGTTGAAGTCGGAATTTGTCGGGTATGCGCAACACTAAACTCTCGTTTTCCACGGGCGAGAAAAGAAGCAGCAGGATTTGCACTGTGTTTTTTCATTCATTGCGACGGCGTAAGTGCCTCTATTGCTGTCATTACAACAACATATTGTTTCATTTTTTTTTTTATCATCGCGTGGCGGTGTGCCCCCCTCCCTCCGTGGGCAGGCCGAGGCTGCAGAGATGGAGGAGCAGCTGTCCGCCGTAACCGAAGCTCTGCACGAGGAGAAGGAGGGGCACCGAGAGGACGTCGAGGCCTTGCAGCAGCAGCTTGCCGACGAGAGGTAAGTCTGTGGATCAAATTTCTCCCGTGTGCAGCTAGTTTTTTGTTTGTTGCACCACAGGTAGCAAGCACTGAATGGTTGCAGGTTAGTTCGCCGTACCCGTACCACCTTAGGCGTGTGTAGACGCCTTCCATCCGACTGCCGTGCGAGCGCGGCCGTTTCAAAGCTGGCAGGACTCTGCCAATTGTAGTTAATTTTACCAGTTTTGTTTTTTTGTTTTTCACCACATGTCAGCAAGTACACGCCATTGAACGTGCATGCAGTACACGGCGTCGCATCAGCCCGTGCGTTTGGTAGTGCTTTCTGAGGTACGGCTGTATGGGTGAACACCCCACCTGGTTGTGATCGTTGGTGTTGTACGTAATCGAGAGAAGGTGTAACCCTAAAACCCTAACCCTTGGCTATGACCCTTGGCTACGACCGTAGCCGCCGGTGTTTTTGGTGCCTGTTGTCTTGTTTTGCTGCACGCGGACTGCTGCGTTGCCGAAGCGTTTTCTGTCTGGCTTGTTTTCGCTTTGTCGCGTGTGTTCGGTGGCTGTTTCGTCCTTCCGGACGCTGCTGCTGCTGCTGCTGCTGTTGCTGCTGCTGCTGCACGCCGAAACCCATCCAACCCGTTTTTTTGTTTGTTTTTTTGTGTCTTTTTTATCTCGTTCAATGTTTTTCAGGACGGAAGGGGACGCCGAAAAGGAGGGGCTCCGTCAGACCCTGCAGATGCTGCAGAGGGAGCTGGGGGACCAACAAGCGGCCTTGAGCGAGGTACGTACGTACGTACCCCATTTTTAAGCTCCGATGCATTTGCGGGTGCTTGGAAGTGGCCGAGGTAGAGGCTGGGGTGACTGAAACGGGCACGATCTCACCGAATCGTTTCATGTGTCGTTTTTGTTTTTGGTTCGGAGAACTGCTGTTGCAACAGCGTTGACATATATCCCGTTTCAGGCCTGCAACATGGCTACTCGGGGATTGCTGTCTTGTGAGTGGAGGCAAGATTGTATGACTCGCTTGACGCACGATGCCGTGTTTAATTATCTTGGTACACATAACATATTATAATTGTGTTTGTGCTTTGAATAGAGCGGGTGCCCGTTGTAGGGTGAGTGCATCGGAATGGCATATACCCGCCCTACAGAGAGATCCCGACGGTATTCATCCACTTACACAAGTGCATTCATCCACTTACGTAAGCCAGGTAAGAGGTCGTGTTCAGTAACCGGTACACCCGTCTACCCATACCCATTGCCTCGCCCGATGACCCTACCAACCGCGGCAACTCCCTACCCCTTTGCTACCTCCCGACGACAACGACTGCAACACCGCCGTCCAGGCCAACCAGCGGCTGGAGCAGGCGCTATCTAGAAGCACCGAGAGCGAGCGGATCTCGGCCGAGCTGGGCCTGGAAGCGCAGCAGCTGAGGCAGCGTCTCTCCGAGGCGTTGAACGAGGCCGCCGTCGCCGGCAATAAGCAGGCCCCCGATAACGCCTCCGCTGCCGGCGACGGCACCGGAGATGGCGACACGGGCAGTGCTGCCGCCCAAGACAGCGCCGACGATTCCGACGCCAGAACCGCCCCCGAAGACGCCGCCGCCATCGACGGCCTCAAGAGAGATCTGGAGCAGGCCGCCCGCCGGCTCCAGGATAACGCCTCCACTCTCGAGGAACAACGGGAGCAGTGCGCCGAGCTCCAGACTAGCCTCGCCGCCGAGCGGACCATCTCCGAGGAGCTACGCGAGGGCTCGCAGGCGCTGCTTGCCAGGGCGGAGGGTGCCGAGAGGGCGGAGGGGGAGGCGATGGCGGCGGCGGCGGCGGAGGCTAGGCGGGCGGCGGATGTGAGGGAGGCGGCGGAGCTGGCGGAGGCCGAGCTGTCCCGCCTGCGCGGGCGCGCTGCGGAGTGGGAGGAGGAGGAGAGACGGGCCGCGGAGCTCAAGGGAACGCTTGAGTCCACGAGGGACGCGCTGGATGAGCTAAGGTGAGGGGGGTGGGTGTTTTGTGATGTGAGGGGGGAGCGTGGGAAGTGAAATCGTTTTTTTGTGCCATAATTTCATGGCGTTTTTATGGCTTGTGGGTGACGATACCGAGCCTGTATAAGACTGACAAACTTTCATCGGTCAGCCGGCCTAGCGCGGTTGATGCTAGTTCAATAAAGCACACACACACATACCGCATTTTATACCTTTACTTCGTCCAAGATATCTAAGACACTTTCGTTGCCTTGGGATTGAGACTCGCGTGCCTCGCACGACCCGCGCTCAGGGTTTCAGCGGGCGAGGCTGAAGCCACCGCCGAGCGTCGGCTGAGAGAGCTCGAGGGACTCCTGGAGGAGGCGTGTTCGGAACGGGATCAGTACCGGGAGCACACCGAGTCCGGCTCCGAAGCGCTGGCAGAGAAACTGCGCTCCATGGAGGTAAGAGAAGGCCGCCGCATGCGGCACACCACCGCGTAGGTTGCATTAAGGCAAACACCCACGCTACAAAAAACATCTAGGTGGTTCGGGTTGAGGCGTAGAGGGGCAACAAACCCTGCACACCCTTAGATCTAACCTGTGTCCTGAGGGCTTCGTTTTCTGCCGTCCGTCACAACGGTGCAGCTTCGGTCGTACATCAACCACATACTCTACATGGATTTTCCAGGGTGTAGACAAAATTAAATTGTAACCCGTTGTTACCCTATACCATAAACTCAAGCACTAGACCGCGTTTTATTGGTCATGTGTCGCCGTTCACGGACGTAACGCGCGTTGTTTGAAACCAACTCCCCCTCTCCCTCTCTCTCCGTCTCCGTACTGTAGGCCCAGCACACGAAGAGCATGGACGAAGCGGCATCGCGAGCGGAGACCGCCGAATCTGAGACGGAAACCCTAAGGGAGGCCGTGTCCCAAGCCATGGCACAGGCCGAGGCGGCCGAATCAGAGATAGAAACCCTAAAAGAGGCCGCGTCGCAAGCAACGGGGAGGGGGGAGACTGCCGAATCAGAGATGGAAGCCCTGAGGGAGGCCGTGTCTCAAGCAACGGGGAGGGCAGAGACTGCCGAGTCGGAGATGGAAACCCTAAGGGAGGCGGTGTCGGAAACAACGGGGAGGGCGGAGACTGCCGAGTCGGAGGCGGAAACCCTTAGGGAGACGGTGTCTCAAGCAACGAGGAGGGCGGAGACTTCCGAGTCAGAGATGGAAACCCTCGGGGAGACGGTGTATCAAGCGACGGGAAGAGCGGAGACTGCCGAGTCGGAGGCGGAAACTCTCAGGGAGGCCGTGTCGCAAGCGGAGCAGCGGGCGGATGCGGCGGAATCGAGAATCGAAACCCTTGATGAGGCGTTGGCTCAAGCAAGGGGGCGGGCGGAAGCGGCGGAGGCTGCGGCTGGCGAAGTTGGCGAAGCGGAGGTGCGGGCATCGGGGATGAAGGAGGAGAATCGGGCACTGGAAGAACGGCTGGCTCGTCAGGTACAAGCATATCCGTGATGTTGTTTGGTTTCTATTCACTATAACGGTGTTGGTGGTCGTGGTGATGCCTATGAGGTGTAGGAGGAGAATCGCGCACGGCTTGCTCGCGGGGTACATGTAAATGCATTGATGTTATTTGGTTTGTCTTTGCTGTACCCGGTTAGTGGGTAGTGGCGATGTTTTGGTAGTCGAGGTGATGACGCCAATGTTGTCGGTGTTGAGGCGGGTTCATCGCTGTACTCGCACGGCAACTTGTGAAGCACACGCTCAGGCATACGCTTGGTATCATTGGTTTCGACAAAGTCCTTGCTCATTTGTACCAACCTATTTTGCGCTCCTCATCCCGATATATACCGTCCGTTCCGTTCATGTGTGTGTAACTGGCAGGAAGCAGCGTTGTCGCAGGCGCAGGTTGAGGCGGAGGCTCAGGAAGCGGAGAAATCTTCACTAGCCGTCGCCGTAGGGAATCTTGAAACGGAGAGGGACAACCTGAGGTGAGCGAAGCGTGTGGGCGGAGGGGGCGGAGTTACCCAGGAACGCTGCTCTGCTCCTTGTGGCTGCTGCTGCTGCTGCTGCTGCTGCTGCTGCTGCTGCTGCTGCTGCTTGTGCTTGTAGCTGAAGTTGTTGCAGTTGTTTTGGTGGTGCTGCTTGTGGCTGCTGTGCTGCTGTTGCCTTTTCTTTTGTGCTGTTGCTGTTGCTGCTGTGGCTGTATCCGTGTGTGCTATGCCTATTTTTCTCCTTCTCGTTATGGTCGTCGTTCCAGTTGTCGTTGCTTCCAATGTCGCCGGTTTTGACGTTATCCCCTCTGTCGTCTGTCTGTTAATGGTCTCTAGGGCCGAGGTCGCCAAGGCTGAACGACTCGCCGCAGAGCTGGCGGCCGCCCACAAGGAGGAGCAGCTCAAGGCTTCCCAAAACAAGGACCAGGACACAAGTCCCGAAAGCGACACCCCAGTGGTGATGACACCAACGGATTCCGAGCAAGACACGGCCGCTGCGACCGCGCTAGTCGCCGACCTCCGCACGCAACTCGAGCAAGAGACGGTGGCGCACGAGGAGGCGCAGGCGGGGTTGCGGGAACAGCTCGTCGAGGCGGCGACGAGCCTGGAGGAGGCGGAGGCGGCACTGCAAGGGAAGACGCAGGCTTTGGAAGAAACCCGGCAAAATCTGGTGGAAGAATCCCAGCAGGATCTGGCAGAAGCCCGCCAAAATCTGGAAGGGAACCGGCGGGATCTGGAAGAAACCCAACAAAATCTGGAAGAATCCCAGCAGGATCTGGAAGAAACCCGACAAAATCTGAAAGAATCCCGCCAAAGCCTGGAAGAATCCCGTCAAGATCTGGAAGAAACCCGGCAAAATCTGGAAGAAACCCGACAGGACTTAGAAGAGACGAGCGCGAAGCTGGAGGAGACGGAAGCGGCCCGCGCCGAGTTAGACCTCGAGGTTTCGACAAGAGCCGCGCAAGAGCAAGCGGCGGCGGCGAGCTGCGAGGCTGCGGAGACGGCCCTCGGCCTAGCCGAAGAAGCAGCGGCCGCTGGCCGGGCGAAGCTGGGAGCGGAGCTAGGCTCCGCCCTGGAGTCCCTGGGCGAGGCGCGGCGGGAGTTGGACGAGGCCAGGCGGGCGGAAGCGGAAGCCCGGGCCGCCGTCGCCACGGCGGAGGAGCAGGCGAGGGAGGCCGGCGGCAAGCTGGAAGACGAGCGCGCTCGCGCGGAGGCGGCGCTGAGGCAGGTGGAGGAGCTGCGGGCGGTGCTAGAGCAGACGGGCAGGGAGGGCGAGGCGGCGGCCGGGGCGAGGGCGGAGGCGGAGGAGCTGCGGCGGCAGCTGGAGGGCACCCGGCAGGTATGTGTGAGGGTTTTCGTAGATCTTGTGGATCTACGCTCGTTTTTTTTTGGTAGATCTCGTAGTTCTACGTTGCTGCGGCCTTAGTTGCCTGTGCTTTGAAGCAGTACTGGATGCACGGTGCCCACCGGCTCTCTCTCTACGCATGGGCGCATGATTGAGTGCGGGAATTCCTTTCAGAAGAGACAGCTGTGGTGAATCACGCTTGCGCGGTCGAAGACTTTGGATATGGGAATGCCGCACGCATACATTTGTGTTTGTCGGTTTGTTTGGGTGGCATTCATGCAGCAGTACTGCGGCGAAGCACTGCAGTCAGGGTCGCAGCGTTGTAGAATGACGACAACCTCACGCTTATCAGCCCGACACACAATATGACCACCAACCAAAATTTTGTGTTTGTTCTTGTTTGGTGGTGTGTAAGCAGTGAACTGCTTTACTGGGCCTAGGGCAGACAGAGTTGCAACAACGGCAGCTGACGTGTTTGTGACGAGAATGAAGGAACGCCTTTGTTGCTGTTCTATGTCAAGGTCGAATAATTAGCAGCGAGTGAAAATGAAGCCTCCATTCACTTTTGGCGCCCAAGCTGTCTTCGTGCCGTCTCGGTGCTCAACTTGAACCATGCACAGCGACCGTAGTATCAAGGTAAACGTCATTTGCTCAACCGGTGTATTTTTCGCCCCCTTCCCCTCTCCCTCTCCCTCTCCCTCTCCCTCTCCCCTTCCCTCTTTCTCTACCTCTTCAACTTCCTCTCGACTGCTTGATTTATCTCACCAGACGGGGGTGCAGGGATGTTAGAACTAGCAAATATCACCCTGCCGTTCCCTAAATGACAAGAGCACCCCCCCCCCCCCCAACGACGCCGTAACCCCCCGCCGACCCCGCTTGGCACTAAGCATTCTCCCCCCCATGCGCCCCGCAGGAACTAGGCGAAGTAGAAGAAGCCCTGTCTTCACAGACGTCCAAGGCCGAGGAGGCCCTCGCCCGATTGTCATCGATGGAGCAAGAGCTCGCCTTGATGGAGAAGGCTCTCGGGGAGGCGACAGAGGCGGCGGCAGCGGCGGCGGCGGCGGAGGCCGAAGCCGACGAGGAGACGGCGGCGGCGACCTCTGCCCTCCGAGAGGAGATGGTGTTGGCGCTGGAGCAGGCGGAGGAGGAGTCGTCGGAGTTGCGACATCAGGTGACTTTTTTTATGGTTTTTTTTTTGTGTGTGGACATGGTATATCGATGAACGTTCGTACCACCGTATCTTTGTCTGGGTTCTTCGCGCTTTTGAATCGATTTATGTGTGAGGTCCAGTATCGTGTGATTTATTCACGGAGTTTTTTCTTGGTGCGTTCATGTACAAATGTTCGTCACACCAGATCAACGCCGTGTTCTCTCCACCGATGTAACTATCTGCCCGTATTATGACGTCAGGCACCTTGACATGACCTTGCGAGATCAACACCGCGTCCTCTCCACGCACGTAACTGTTGGTTGCCCATATTGCGTCACGCACCATGACGTCACGCCAGATCCTCGATGCAATTATCTCCGCGTCCATACCTAACTGCCCTTATGACATCACGCTCGACCAACGCCTCGTTCTACATGCCCACGCACATAAACTAATACGACAGTCACGCACCATGACGTCTCACCAGATCGACGCCGCGTTCTCTCTAAGCCCATGTTAGACAAACGCTAATCAGCGCTGACTAAGTAGCCTAATGGACTAGCGGGTTTATCGAACAGTCCATGCCTAACTGCCCACATTATAGCACCATGGTGTCACACCAGATGGACGCCGCGTTCTCTCCACGTCCATGTTAGACGAAGGCTAAATAGTCAGCGCTGACTGAGTACAGTCTAATGACTAGCCTTTTTCATCGAGAAGTCTCTCCCTAACTGCCCATATGACGACTGTCAAGCACCGTGACGTCATACGCCAGATCAACGCCGCCGAGGTGACGATCGCGGACGTATTGTACGTATCTGCCCACATGTCACGCGACACACCATGACGTCACGCTCGACCAACGCCGCTTTTTTTTCACGTACACAAACTAGCTACCCATATTTATGAAGTCATAGCGTCATATATCTATACAACGCCGCGTTAGCTCCACGCACATAAACTGACTGCCCATGTTGTTGACATGACGTCACGCACCATGACGCCACACGCCAGATCAACGCCGCCGAGGCGACGATCGCGGACATGGACGCCGCCCGAGCAGCCGCCAACGAAGAAACCGCCGCTCTCAGGGCAGAGCTCGCCGCGGCCGTCGAGCAAGCAACGGAGGCGGCGGCGGCGGCGGCGGCGGCGGCGCAAGCGGCGAGGGTCGGCGCGGAGGCGGAGCTCTCGGCGGAGCTCTCGGCGGCGCAGGAGATGCTGCGGCGGGAGCTGGTAGCGGAGACAGAGGCGGCGGTGGGCGCGGAGCGGGTGGAGGGGGCGGAACGCGTCGCGGCGGCCGAGAGGGAGGTGGAGGGCCTGCGCATCAAGCTCTCGGAGGTGTGTGTGTGTGTGTTTTATTATTAGCATCGACCGCGCTAACCGGCTGACCAATGAAAAGACGTCAGTCTCAGTGCGGTTGAAAACACAAAACACTTCTATCTAAATTCCATTGACTGGGACCCCGTGAGGGGGCGGCATGGGGGAGGCTATGCTATTCGCCGGGGATGAAAAGGCAAAGACAGTGCGTGTGTGTGTGAGTGTTTGCATCGACCGTGCTTACCGGCTGACCAATGAGAAGGCACCAGTCTTTTTGTAGCGGGATGAAAACACGAACACTTTTCGAAGGGGTCCTACCGACAGGGGGGGCGCAGGAGTTGGATGACAGGTCCGTGTGTGTGTTGGTTGTCGTTGGAATGGTGTGATGATTGGTTTCCTGCTGCTGCTGCTGCTGCTGCTGCTGTGGGTGTTTGAGCAATAATATGCATGTCCAAAGAAGATGAGACTTCCTTGTTTCCACATGTTTCTGGAAGAGATTCATGACGCGGAGGGGTATGCGTTCAGCTGTGGTTGCGGGCGATTGCGAAGATTCGAGGTTTTTTGGAGCGCTCCTCAGCGTATCTTTTCTCCTGCTGATGGTGATGGTAGCGTGCCCTCGATCAATACACAACCGCGAGCGCCAACTACCCCGAGACCTCTCCATTGCGATGCCCCCCGAGAAAACACGAGTAAAGCTGACTCTTATGGCAACCGAAAGTTGGCCCGACGGATTTTTTTGGACTGGCATACCCCCACCCCCCGGGTTTGACACGGATTCGACCAAGAGACAGACCTCTCACCACATCACCACAGAGTTCTCCCTCCATGATGGTCGGATCGTCACCAAACCTTGAAGGTTGTACGCACCACACCTGTAGGCGTCTTTCAAGCTAGTGGTGACTGCTGTGGGGTCTGTGTGTGCTGAGAAATGTCAATCCATGTGAGCAAAAGTAAAAATCCGTGTGGAGAATCCGTCGACGAATCTATACGAGAAAATTGCCTTTTTTTTTCGTATACAATAGCATCTCCTGCGGATTCTCCACACGGATTCTCCACACGGATTCTTACTTTTGCTCACATGGATTGACATTTCTCAGCACACACAGACCCCACAGCAGTCACCACTAGCTTGAAAGACGCCTACAGGTGTGGTGCGTACAACCTTCAAGGTTTGGTGACGATCCGACCATCATGGAGGGAGAACTCTGTGGTGATGTGGTGAGAGGTCTGTCTCTTGGTCGAATCCGTGTCAAATCAGGGGGGTGGGGGTATGCCAGTCCAAAAAAATCCGTCGGGCCAACTTTCGGTTGCCGCAAGAGTCAGCCTAACCTCACTTCCTTCCTGTCTCTTTCCCGACCACATCACGCATGACCCAAACAAACAAGCATACTCCCCCCCCCCCCCCTCTCTCTCACCACCATGTCTATGTATGGGCACCGCCAACAACAGTCGGAGAAGGAGCACGCACAAACCCTCGCCGCCGCCGCCTCCGCCCACGAGCGATCCGCGCTGGCTCTGTCGGAGACGCGGGGCGCTCTCTCTGAGGCCGAGAGCGCGGCACAAGTGGCGGCCTGGGAGAGCAAGTCCCTCCGCGAGGAGCTGGAGGGTCTCCGGGAACGTTCCGAGGAATTGTCCTCGGAGCTCGAGGCGACGCGGTCGAGGGAGGCGGCGGCGACGCGGACTGCGAGGGAGGGGGTGGGGGCGGAGCTGGAGGGTCTCCGTGGGGCGGTCGGCGCGGCGGAGGCCGGGAGGGAGCAGGCGGAGGAGGGCCTGGCCCGCCTCAAGGAGAAGAAGAAGAGGGACCTGCAGGTGTGATGACGTCATGGTAGTCGTGGTGGTGGTTAGGGCGGTGGTTTGGTAGTAGGTCGTGTTGGTAGGTTTGGAAGCGGCATTTGTTAATGGTGGTGGTGGTGTTGAAAGAGGTATTGGTTTGTGGTGATGTGGTAGTGTTGGCATGGTACAAGAACAATAACACTGGTACCCCCCCCTGCCCACGCTGGGTGTATGAAGGATAATCCCTTGTTGCTCACTGTCGGGAGGATATCGATAGAAAAGTACTGAAACGTACTCGCTACACACCACCGTAAGTATATCAGTGCGTTTTATGCCCGCCCTACTTCTTGCCCTGTTTTGAATTCGCCAAACATCCGAACCCGGCTATCGGCACAAGGGTGCTTGTTGAGATCCTCCCGATCTGTACAAGCCCCCTGTACATCCATTCCAGTCCTGGCTTCAAACCACAATTTTGCTCACTCACGCCTTGTCCCAACGTGCACTCGAGGGCACCTCGGATGGACACAGAACGAAAGAGCGTGCTGTTCCCGTTGTAAAGGAAGTGCTGCCTCAAAGCCCCCCCCGTTGCCAGTGCTTAGGTCTGTCCCAACCTTGCGTGCCTGTCGTGTCTGAGCTTATGCAGTTGGTGCTTCCCTCTGTGGCATTCTTTAGTGGTAGTGGAACGAGTTCAGGGGGCCCCTGTTTTATCAGTTGTCTTGCTCATTGTTTGCCTGCGGCTGTGTTTAAGTGCGGCGGAACAACTCTGCTCGTTGCACTGTTTCGGTTCCCTTTCGTTTTCGTTCCCTTCCCTGCCTCCCTTTCGTCCACGTTCCTATTGTATGCGTATGTCTCATTCCAGGAAGTACGGCGGCTGAACGAACGCATGATGGAGCTGCAGCAGGCTCGCCGCGAAGAGGTCTCGGATCTCGAGGGCTCGCTGCAGGAGCTGAGGGCCAAGACGGACGAGTTAGAGCACGCCCTTGCGCAGGTATTTTACGTGGAGAAACGATGATTGGTCGGAGGTCATCGGCGTCGGTTGTGCCAGTACCGACGTCGGGAGGTGCTGGGCAGCGACCGGAACGGTTTTGTGGACAGCAGTAGTAACACGAGGACTCTTCTTCTTCAATGCAATTGTTACAATATTGATTCGTTTCATCTCGCCTTGTGTCTTGGTATTGTGAATTCCTTTGCTGGGTTTCGTGCGTTGCCTGTGCGAGCTGTTTTTGTTGCACGGTGATGTGCAGGCTGGCCCTTACTGCCGTGGTGAGGTTGACTCTGTCATTGTTTGTGTTAACAAGGAGTTTCCGTGTGCCGTAGCGGCTACGGCTTCAGAGAGAGTCCGGACAAGCCAATAACAGTCTCCTTAATCCGGTATCCTTACACAGTATTCAGAGGGCGCAAAATTTGTATGCATAATACTTCGAAGTGTACATGTGCTTGTCATGACCTCGACAAGCCACTTGTTGTTGCTCCCTTGCCTCCATATGTTCTCTTCAACAATCTCTCTAAACCCGTAGCCGCTGCTACTGCTGTACTTGACATGAAAACAGGCGCTGAGCGAGAAAGACCACTTGCAACAGGAGGCCACCGCCACCGCCGCCGCTGCCGCTGCCGCTGCAACCGGTGGTGGCGACAAGTCCCAGTCATCGTCGTCGTCCCCCATACCACCCGAGGGCACTATTCCGGTACCCCCGGGCGACCCCAACCCTCGCCCTCAAGAACCCCAGCAGGAGGAACAACACCAAGGCGGTCGTGCGCGTGAGGAAATGGTGAGGGGAGGGGAGGGCTTAAGATCGGAGGAGCGCGGCGGTGGCCCGCGCCGTGAGGAGCGAGAGAAGGAGTTGTCGCTGCTGCGGAAGCTTGTCGAGAAGCTGCAGCGGGAGGTGGAGGGGCTCAAGTCTGACCTTGAGGTGAGGCTTGGAGGGGACCGATGTCGTGGGTGTTGGTCGTACACGCTCGCAGGAGTGAGAGGTGGGGACGGCAAACGTGTGGATGTGTTTGTGTTATTTGCATCGACCGCGCTAACTGGCTGACCGATGAAAAGACATCACTCTCAGTGCGGTTGAAAACACGAAATGCTTCTAAAGGACATGATCTGGGACCCCGTGAGGAGGCGTCATGGGGGAATGTGTGTGTGTGTGTGTGTTTCTGACAAGAGCAAAATACGTGCGTTTTGCAGGGGGTTCAATGCCGAGGGCGAGAGGAAGGCGTCGGAGATATCGGAGATGACTCAAAGACTGTTATTCACTATCCGACATACGTACTCTTGCTATTTTTCAATCCTGGCGTAGTTTCACTGATCAGTCGCTTAGCTCGGTCTACATTACACTAATAATAAACATACACACGTGACATGTCCTGCGGATTACTTATCTTTGTGTTGGTGCCCCCCGACCCCCCCCCCCCCCCCATTTTCCTTTTGTTCTTCAGGAGGAGTCTACCGGTCGAAGTCAAGCCCAAAACGCGAAAAATGTCTCGGCGGCCGCTCTCGGCAGGGCTAACGCAAGGATCGCCGAGCTCACGTCCAAGTCTGCTCAGCTGACCAGGTGAAGCCCCCTGCTGCCGCTTCTCAACCGGTGTTGATGCTGTTGTTCGACGGCACTCGCGTTGGGGAGTTTCGATTCTTCTTTGCTTGGATTTGTGTTACGTGTCTCAGAAGGAATCAGTAGAGAGGACGTGTGTCTGCGTTCGTCTCACCTATGCTGGCGCCAGTCTCAGCTGCTCGGAAAGAAAGAAAGAAAGAAAGAAGCTGCAATAGCCTAAGAGGGGTTGTAGGTCTACTTCGGGATTGGCGTCGAAATGACGTTGTATATATAGCATAGGGACAAAAACCTGTACGGTAAATAGTAAATTATCAGCATTGTCATCATCATCCCCGTCAAAGGCAAGTACTGGAGTCAAGTATCAAACACCAACGACGACGAGGACGTAACAGCAGCGCGGGTATATTCTTGAATCGATGTCTTGGGGGAGGCTGTTTCGTTGAAGCGTCGTCTGTAGGTCGTAAGCACGGACGGTGTAGCAGCTTCTGGTGCCGACCTACAAAAGTGGGTGAATTGGTGTACGAATCGCGAGAATTGCTGTGCTTACCGTGGCACCCGTTCCGCTCGACGAGATGTCTCAATGTCTCTTGATACATCCATGGGCAGCAGTCAACTTCACAATTGAGGGTAGGTGGGAACATGTCACTGCATTCCTTTTCTTCCTATGGCCACAATCCTGCCAATCGCCCTACAACGCGCTGACTTTCGTTCTTCTCTTCTTTATCCGTCCTCTCTCTCTGTCTGTTGGCGACCAACACTCCGAAACCAAAACCTGTCAGAGCACGCTCGGCGATGGTGGCTCAGATCAATGCTCTTGAAGAGCAGTTGAAATCCGCCGCACTCAAACAGGCCGCCGCTGCCACCGCGGGGGGAGCCGCCGAGACTAACACGACGGATAGCGGCTCCGTTGCCGACTTCTCAACGCCCTTGCGAGGTAAGTAGCTTCCTTGGTCTTGACAATAAGCTTTTTTATAAATATGTAAATATATGTTAGGACCAAACAAACCACACGGAGGTGGACCAAGCATCGCAAGGCAGGGGGGGGTCCGGGGGGGGGTTTACCCCCCCCCGGCACGCTTGGGTGGACCCAGCAAACCACGCGTGAGGTGAACCAAGCATCGCAACCGCCGGGGGGGGGCAGAGGAGACTCCATCTAAATAGTATCTACAGCAGTATGTAGTCTTGTACCTGGAGTAGTGCTACTGCTGTATAGAGGTGTGCGTGCATACAATAGAGTGGCTGCGGTGACATCTATCTAGCGTACAACGGGCTCCATCGCAAAGCACCTGAGGAGTTCTATCAAGTGTGTTACTGTTGGTGCTGCTGGTGCACACCTTTGTACGCACTGCAACTGTGTGTGTGAACCTCTCGCTGTGTGTACCATGGCGGCACTGCTGTGATGGTACATACAGGTACTCCATGCATATTGTATGCAGACGTAACAAGATCTTGTAGCTTGTAGCAGCAGCAGTCACACCGCACATGGGACGGAGCCCCCGGATACCCCTCAGTACAAAATCTTCAATCGTAGGGGGGGGGGGGGGGGGGGGGGGGACCCAAAACCGGGGAGGCCCGAAACCTTTTGACCTTGGGCCCCCACCCCCAAAAAACCCGGAAGGAAACCCCCCGGGTTTCCCCGGGACA